TCCTATACTTCAAGCAATAACCTTAACAAGCAATTACCTGCTTTGATGTAATCACAAAAGCCTCCTGTGAACTGCCACACCTTCCTCGATGCAACAGGCTCATGCACTTTGATTTAAGACTCTTGATTTAAGACTCTAGAGGGACCAGCCCTTTCCTTCTTTGCCTAAAGTTTCCACTACCTTAAGCTCAGAAGCCAGCTATGCTAGGATTTAGCTTAATGTCAAGTTTTGCTTAAAAAACACTGTTTCCTAAAAAGCTAGTGCCATTATGAACACTTAACAAGTCACATATGGAATCTAACCTTTCAAACAAAATTTTGATGCTGCTTACTGAACTTCAGATACCTACAGAAGAAAAGCTGAATCTATGAAACATTCCCTCGACTCCCCAGACTTCCTTCAACCTCTGTTGCTAACCTTACACTTTGGTGTTATCATCCTTCAGTCTCCAATCTAAACAGATCATGAATTTAGCTCAGAATAAAAATTGTTACACAAGAAGTCTTAAGAAGTTTTAAAGTACTCATAAGAGCATAGATGTGTATTCCTGTGAATACCAGGAATTCCTCTTTACCAACTGCAGTGAACTATCCTAAGGAATGCAGTAACCATGAAATCACAAATCAAGCCCTTCATTCAGGGTAGGTTTCATAGAACAGCACTTACAGATGAACTAGAATAATGCACGTTTACCTCATCAATTATAAACTAGCATTTGCACTAGACATCATTTAAATTTACATGACACAAAAAGCATACTGCAAAGAAGTGTCTCAGTATTGTTGATGATATGATCCCTCTTTGAAGTTACTTGTTAAGAAGCATCTTTATACATCGATTCACGTTCTGCTTGGCATTGTCATCATTGTTATCAGCAAGAATTGCAAAAGTCTAGATAAAGGCATGTTGATGTTAACAAGTTACCTTGAGCAGCCTGGGTTTTAACTTGCTAAAGGGCAGACGGCTGGCTGTACGTTCACCCCTTGGCTTATTCTAGTTAACAGTGTGCCTGTAACAACCATAAGAGAGCCACAAACCTCTCTGCATCCCACCGGAGAAAAGCTTCCCCACAAAGAGATGGGAAAGTCAGTGCTTTTTTTGCTCCATTTGCTAAATTTTTAGCGTAAGTCTCACCAGGAAAATGGACTTACCAGTCACCGAAAGTCACCAGTATAACGTAAAGTTTTGAAAAAACACTTAAGGAAGAATTCTTTTCCAATTCAAGATTTTAGTAAGTTTTTTAGCAGGCCCATCAACTTTTTAAAGCTTAGACACACAGCAATTTATAACTGTGACCCCCACTTTTCACTGCAGCATTGAATTAATAAAATTCAAACCTGGAATGGTACCAAGAAGTACCATCTCTCCACTCTTGTTGTGCATAAGGCTCTCCACTCATACAGCACACTTACAGTGCATCCTTCCTTCAAGAGGATGCTCCTCTAAGCATAATGTAGCTTATATTTTCTGATTTTTTTTCCTTTTGATAATAGTAATTTTATAAAATAAGAAGCGTGCTGTAATCTTTAAACACATCAACTTGCAAACATACTGGTTTGCCTTCACTGGCATTTTTATTTTGAAGCAGGGACAATTAGGTGAACACCCACAGAAACTCAGATACTCTCCTTCCTATCCTCACTGGTGATGAAAAATGGCTGGGTAAGGTCCTTACCAGCATCGTCTTCAGACTGTCAACAAGAAAGCAGTGTTTCTACAGGTCAGTGTCTAGTGACTACAGGATAAGTATTAGAACAGGTTTTTTTTAGTCATAGCAAGTCTTCTACTTTGCAGAAGAAATACAACACAAGGAGAGTGTTGTATATAGATCTGGTGTAAGCGTCTGTCAAAAGCTTTGACTATTTCGAACACTACAGGAAAGATGCAACCGGCCTAAAGAACACCTAGGTACCTAGGCTGAAGCTTTGCTAGGAAAAATTAAACTGATAGCTCAAAAGAGGTAGAAAAGCTGAAGCATCATAGACAGATTTAATAGGAGACCGCAGGAAGAAAGCATCTGGGTTTGGATTGTCGTAATATTGCTTAAAGACACACAGCATCACTGTACCATCTCCAGGTCAATTACGCTTACCAGATTTTTCAGTCGAGCTTTTCAGTAACTTATGAAAACATTGTCTCCAGGATATTCCTAACACAGGATGTCACATTAGTTTCTGAAATTCTCATTATTCTTCCCCTGAGAGGTAGGAAAAATAGCTGCCAAGTTCAATATTGTGTCTCTCTCAAGTTGCAATTATGCAAAGATACACACTTAAGCCCTATTAAACTGAATAGACTGCAAAAAAAAATATATTAACTCGTTATTGATATAAAATTTGGTACATATTAACTTGTTTCAAGCCTAAAGGTAACTTATGACTTGGTGCAATAATTGCACACTTGGGAAGTGTAAATATCTATACAGACCAAGTATTTTCCAGAAGCAGTTCACAAGTTTCAAGCTTTATTTTAAGCATTTTCAGGACCTTTTAAACTGCTTGAAGACCTAAAGACACAACTCTTACAAAGTTAAAGTACTTAGGTGTCTTCTGTTATTTGAAAGATCAGCTTCACTGGGGTCTAGACACCTTTGAATTGAAATAAAGAAGCGTTTCCAGAGCAGATCAAGCACAGAACATGGCACAATCCCTTTTCAGTAAAATATAATTAACCAAAGAATCCAACCTCCTTAGACTTGGTTTTACACTTCAGAGACCTATTGTATTTAACTGGCTTATCTTCTGCATGCTCCATTGCTCAGTACTCACAGCCTGAAATGCAAGTTCAGCTATTAACCTTTCAGGTCTAACACATTTTCTACAGCTTGTATACACTCAAACAAGTGCTCTAGCACTCAAGTTTCTTTATGCCTGATCACCACCTCAAAACCCCCACAGGAGCTCCAGGCCTAGCCTCTTACACCCGACACATGACCTCAGAGGTCAGGCTGTCTCCCTGCCTGATTCTCCAAGCTTTCATTTAAGAGGTGCTTTTTTGTGTTGTTATCAGTTTTGCTTAGGGACTTATATCAGTGTATATTCAAAGAAGGACTGTTAATTATACTTTTGCCAAATATTTCTGTCCATACAAAGAACTCTGGGAAAACTTTCATTGCATCCATCATAGCCCCTAGCCTTATACAAGTGTCTTTGCACTACCCAAGTAAAACTACCACACAGGTAAAAGTGAGCTTAACTAAATGCTGAGAGAGTCCAGTACTAAACCTCTCACTGACTGAACAAAGCTAATAAGCTGATTTTTAAAAATTCCTTACTTTCAGCAAGCTTCAGATATTTGTTATAGTCAGTCTGTAGCATTCTTCAATTCCATCCCAGTAATTTCTTTACCTTCTCATTCAAGCAAGAGCACCTTTGTTAGAATTTAATGTTTTTAAGGTGAACAACTTCAGAAACCATGTTATTTTTTCAACATAGTTGAACTTCCATCTTGAAATCTTACCCTATCCCTCCCACGTCCTCTCAACTCCCGTATCAGCCTTCAATTTATAAGGCCTCACAGCCCTTCCCACCTGTCCATGGATATTCCAGACCCCCTAGACCTTCTCCATCTTCACCAAGTAATCTCAGCCACCAAGACAGCCACTCAGACCCACCTATAACTGACAAGAATTCTGGCCCAGTACGTTCCCAATCTTCTGAATGGGTCAGCCAGCTCCGGATCAGCTGGAAGTCGCTGGAACAGGACTCTGGCATTCATCACTTACCACCTCCAAATCACTACAGGCAACAGAATCATCTCCACCCTATCCCTACCCTCCCATCACTCACTTCAAAACTCATTATCTTGAAATAAAAACTCTACCTAGATCCTCATACCCAAGCTAATATTTAAGTATCACAGACTTTTTAACACCTACCACCTGAAATACGTTTCAGCTAGATCTCACATTCAGAGTGAACACCTAAAAATAAGAGGTACAGATCCTGTAAGGTTCTATTTCCATACATACAAAAAATGCTGGGCTCTAGATACATCAAGACAGCTGCACCTATGATGGGCATCAAACTTTCTAGCAGCTCCTTTACACCCTCACAACAAAGCATCCTGCAGTTGTTTCACTTTGATCATAAATTCCTTGAAGCAACATAACATTATTAATCTAGAACAAGTTGTATGGTGCAGAAATATCAGTTCTTCACGTTCCTACAGCGAATAGCAGTATGGGAGGCCAACGTCCTTAACTTGTAGAAGAAGTACAGGCGTTAAGGTCACCATGCCTGCGTTTCCACAAAAGAAGCTATCTTTAGGGTCATACGCATCTTCACAAAAGCATGTTTCTGCCGCTCTTCAAGGATGCAGGAACTGGCTGTAGAAATTACATGAGAATTCATTTAAAGTAAATCCATTAGAACTAGCTAAACTGGTATTTTTCAGAAACAATGATTTCTTCCTAAGCTCAAACCAAAGAAAAACTCAACCTGGAATCCAACGATTTTGGAACAACCCATTTCTCTTGGTGAGCAGTGCTCTTGATGCATCTCCTGCAAGAACATCAAATCCCCTCAGCGGGAGGGGATATCAAAGGCTTTCAAACTTTGTCATAGGCATGAAGTCAAACGTTACATCCCAGTCCTCTCAAAGCAGCAAGCTCAGCTTGGGCCACTAATGATCTGTTAAAATAATTCAGACCATCCCTTGATCTTTCATCCCTTGCTTGAGAAAAGAGGTTCATAGCAAATCATGGGCTGAAGGGATTTTCCTCAAAGGAACATCAACTCTCTTACCCGCTGCTTGCCCTGCCTGCCTCCTGACCACCTCCATAGGCTACCGGAGCAGACCAGTGCCTGCGCACAGCCTGATGGACAGGAACAGGTTGGCTACAACCCAGACCGTAAGATGCTCCTGTGGGACTGCAAGCTAACGCGTGCATTGGAAATCCACATCTGAAAACGGGGAAATCGTGAAATAAACACGGGACCATCCTACCTGAGAGGCGAGCCTCACCATGGCAAGTTACACGCACCAGTACCACAACTTACCAGTGAAATGAACCCCAGAGCTGCCGCTCGCCCTGCCGTGAGCTGAGCTGCTGGGCTCCCAGGTGCCACCGGGCACGCAAGGCGCTCGCAGCCCAAACTTCGGGCAGGGCAGGGCAGGGCCGGCACACGCCGGGTGTCCAGCCGGGCTCACAGGGCCCCTTCGCCGCCCGCCCCCCGCGGAGCCCCCCGCGCCCCCGCCCCGCCGCCCGCAGCGGGCAGCCCGCGGCTCGCCGCCCGCACCCACCGCTTCTTGGGGATGGAGCCGGCGGCCGGCCCGGCGGGGCCACCCTGCGCCTTGCAGGGGCTGGGGGACAGCGCGGCGCGGCCCGAGCCCCGCAGGTGCCCGGAGATGATGCGCAGCCGCCGCCGGGCGGAGGACGGGGACCCGCCGCCGCTTCCCGCCGCCTCCTGCCGCCATGGCGCTTCCGTGTTGTGCCGCCGAGCGCTGCCGGGTGAGGGGTCAGGCGGGCGGAAGGCGCCGAGCCCCGCTCCCCGCCGAGCCCGGGGGCAGGGGGCGGCCCGCGGGGTCTCCGCCAGGCTCCTCCCGGCAGGGTAGCCCCGTGCCGAGTGCCCGCTCCCCGCAGCGGGGATCGCCTCAGCTCGTTACGAAACGCTCCGTGGTGGCGTGGGCGTGGGTGGGGTGCTGAAGGCGCTGGTTAGTGGGGTGACAGAGTGCTCCCTCCTGCTTACTCCCCTCAGCTTACAGGTGCCTTGCTGACAGGGGCAGGGAGCCTGCGCCTCAGCACCTCTATCTGCACTGAGCACCAACAGCTAAAACTGCAAGATAGGGCTTCAGTATGTGTATGTGTCAGGCTGCTTTCCTATAGCGGTGAAAATGAAGAGCAGAATGAAGTCAACCCCACAGAATCACAGAATTTCTAGGTTGGAAGAGACCTCAAGATCATCGAGTCCAACCTCTGACCTAACACTAACAGTCCCCACTAAACCATATCCCTAAGCTCTTCATCTAAACGTCTTTTGAAGACTTCCAGGGATGGTGACTCCACCACCTCCTTGGGCAGCCTGTTCCAGAGCCTAACAACCCTTTCAGTAAAGAAATTCTTCCTAAGATCGAACCTAAAACTCCCCTGGCACAACTTTAGCCCATTCCCCCTCGTCCTGTCACCAGGCACGTGGGAGAACAGGCCAACTCCTACCTTGCTACAACCTCCTTTAATGTTCTTATCAAGAGCAATAAGGTCGCCCCTGAGCCTCCTCTTCTCCAGGCTGAACAAGCCCAGCTCCTTCAGCCGCTCCTCGTAGGACTTGTTCTTCAGGCCCCTCACCAGCTTCGTTGCCCTTCTCTGGACCCACTCAAGCACCTCTATGTCCTTCTTGTAGCGAGGGGCCCAACAGACAACACACCTGCTACCAGAGACGGCACCAGTGTGACCGGATTTGCGCAGGGCAATGCAGTGGTGGGCTGGCGACCTGCTCAGAGTAACTCCAACTTCGTGAACTGCAATACCTTGCACAGTTGAGGCCTACTTTGTTATCACACACAATCTACTTTCGTGATTAGCTTTTGCAGGTTGATGGCACCAGTCAGCTTTATGGAAATCTTGAAGTGGAACACTGCTATCTGTGTGATTATTAATACTTTCATAATGATCTTTTGCCTATCACTGCTGGTTTATTTGCTCATTCCTTCCTCGTGCACCCCTATGCTTGTTCTGTCGTGTATATGAAATAAAATCACATGAAAATTCGTGAAACTCTTACCTTATCCTCTTTCAAATCCCTTTCAAGGACCTATTTCTCCCTTGATACTTCGGTGTGATACCTTTCCATTAGCTAAGTAACTAGCAGAAAGTTCTCTAGGGAGCAGCAACTAGCAGAAAGTTCTCTGGGGAGCAGTATGTAGTGCACAAGCAGAGAGACTTTGGTTCAGTTCCCTACTTCACATGCAATATCTGTGTCTCTTTGAGTCATAGCTCTCCATAAAGAAACCAGGGATAACAGTATCTCCCTGCAGAAATTGACCAGAAGATAAATACACTAAGGTCTGTGTGACAATATAGGATCAACCACCCTAAGACCTTCTGATTGAAAGCTGTACATAAAAGCCAGGTATTGTTACTATTTGTTTTGCTTTTATTCTCACCATGGCTAATTCATCTCATGCCTTTTGTGTACTTTGACTGGAAAATGGCCTGTAATTTTCCTGGGGCAGGAATTGCACTAGTTGCAATGTGGTCTCAGCTTTAGGTTAGGTTTCTGGTATTACTGCGATATAAACAGCTGTTCCGGCAGTTTGATAGTTTGGTTATGAAGTTAAATTTCCCCCTGTGAGTAATTTGTATACTACTTTCTGAATTAACTCATGCATATCTGCATTTAACTATCTGCTGCTGTGGAGGCAGTCTTTAGGGAACAAACACGGATCTCTCGACTGAGTTTTCATTCACATTGTTTACTGAAGTGCTGGATATAGCTGGAGGGATTTTAAGTCACTGTTATCTAAACTGTTCCACATTGTGGAAGGCTGGCAGACAGATACTACGTTCATTGCAGTAGGCTTCAGATTTTGCTAGACTTTCTCTGCATTGCACTCAGTGGTAAGGAACAATCCTTTGTAACGGGCTCATTTATTTGATCCTAATCATAGGAGGTTGCAAGTCAAAAATAGAATCTAATATCTGATGAGAAACATTTATCACTACCTCAGAACCTGATTCTCCAAAAAGTTCCCTATTAGTTTTCAATGTGCGCACCTGGAGATTTAACTGAGGGCGGTAAGGGCATGATGCTGTGGTTCTTAAGCCAGAGACAATGCTTCCAGGGAATGGAGGTATAGCTAAAGGACACCTCAGTTCTGTGCAAGAGATGGGTCTTTTCTTACTGTGAGAATGGAGAGTTCCTGGCAGCACTGTGAGTGCATTCCTCAGCTCCCTTTTGGAGGGCGGCAATCTTCATGAAAAGGAGTAGGAACATAATGTGTTGGCAGATCATGAGCCTGTTCTTTCTCACCATTTGCCTGAAGTGAACCACTGACGTATTTTCAAAACAAAAAAAAAAAGTCTAATTGGTTCGTATAAAGTCTAACTGATCAGTAGAAGTGTTAAAAAGAAAACTTAGCAAGCACAACAATGTTGAAAGTAATATAATTGAGACAACAAAGTGAAATACAATTTCAGTAAAAAATCCAGCAGATCTACAAGGTGGAAGTTTGAAGCATGCTGATTGTTGCCAAGCCAAAGCAGCAGGGTTTACTGTTCCGTGAGCTTTCTTTCCCACACACCTGAGTGAATCTAAAAGTGTGAGTGGGATGCAAACTGCATTGCAAAAGCAATGAGAAAAGCAAACTAAAGAATCCTCTGTTTTCTAGAAAACACGCTGAGCTTTAACTTTTAATTGCCAAGATTTCAGCAGGTGAAGAGCAAAAATCATGGAGCAGTTTACAAACAGATTACAAACAGTAACTTCTGTTTACAAACTTCAGTTTACAAACAGATAAACTTTAATTTAAAAGACTTGAATGACCAAGAAAAATGTTGACAATACCCAAGGAAAAGGCTATGAGAGTACAAGGGGTGCCACCAGGGGCCTGGTGGCACTAACAGACCTCACTGGCCCTAACCAGCCTCACTTTGCCTGTTTAGGAAAATCCCTAAAATGAAAATGATTAGATGATGGCAGAATATCAGGGGGAAATATCACACATGCTTTATCTGTTCTGATTCTTCCAGATGTCTGTTTGTGGCCTGCATCAGAGACACAATACTCTGCAGGATGGACTGTGGTCTGAAGCAGCACGGGGATTCTTCAGTCCTTATCCCTGACAGGTTTTTAAATGTTAGCTTAAATATTTCATGTAATGCCATCAGTAAAATGCCATCTTTCTCCTAGATACACTAACTGAAAAACACCATTTTGAATCAACTTCCAAAGGAACACCGCTACATTTTTCTGTACGTTGTTTGGAATGACTATACCTTAATTAAAATGGTCTTTCTCAGTTCTTTAGTGTACGGCAAAAGTAAGGGATCTCTTCATAACAGATAAGCAGGACATGAACAGAGCAAAAGAACTTTTTCTTTTTTTTTTTTCTTTTCAAGATTCTTCATTTTGTGGAGCTACTTGCAAAGTTAAAACAGAAAAAAACGCCTACTGGAATAAGGTGTGTTTTAGAGGTTTCTTTCTCCAGTCCAATTCAGATGTGATTGACACTAATGTATAAGGAACACCTTTTTGTTCTGTATTTCTACAACCTTGTACAATAAGCCAGCACCTACAGAAAAGGTGGGGTTTTGGCTGTCCTAGGAACAGGATGGGTGTGGAACATCCACAACTGAATCATGAGCTCAAAAGAGGCTTATGAGGCAAGAGATGGGGTAAAAGGGCATAAGCCTTTGAGCTCCCCTCTAGATTAGTCATTTTATTCACCAGAAATGAAGAAAGTTTACACCTGTTGATGAACATGTCATTCAACACCAAGTCATTCATGCCCTGGGAGGAGCATTGTTAATATTTTAATGAGCCCATAAGTTTTTCTGAAAGGAAACAATTTGTCCAAGATTTATTTGGTTTTGTGCCATTTTTACAGTCAACAGAGAGCCTGAGGGAAAGGCAAAGTATCCATCTACCCATCCATCCACCCATCCATCTACTACCAGCTTATGGCAAGAGGAGGCTCAGGCGGCTGAGCAGCCTAGAAACATGTCTGTATTTGAACAAGAGCTGATCGTTGAGAAGCAAGTGCTAAGTCCTTATCAGTGATATATTAAAAAATGCATATTGTGAAACTGCTGCAACTTCACTAAGTCCTCCCTTATGACCCAGGGCAGAGTTAGTAACAGTATACTGTTGTTATACATATTTGAATAATATATCTGGATCTATTTTGTGTATATTGTATTTTGCACACAAGAAAAATCCTTGCTAAATAATTAAATATATGCATGGATGAGTTCATGCATCAATTGTTTCAAGGCAGGCCATTGCAAACTGAATAAGAGACATTTCTACTCTGTTAGCTTCTGGTAGTAAATCCAGCTAAACACCACTGGTAACAAGAGTGGCAGATAAGTTTGTAAGTTTACATGCGTTGGAAGTTCCCAAGGAACAAGGGAATAAGGGCAAACTTCCTAGAAAACTGTGTGGAGATGTGTATCCCTGCCCTGTCTCAACCCTTCCACAATGCATGTCAAAAGCCTGTCAAAAGAAAATGCATTTGTATTTGTTTACTGAGGCAATTCAGTAAAACCAAACATAGTTACCATGTACAGCTTCCTGTGGCTTTGTTGGTAAAAGTAAGCATAATTTGACATTTACAGACATTTAGCTTTCAAGGTGTACATCCCAAAGAAGCTCAAGTGTGGTTTCCACGCTCTTTTTTATTGCCCCAAGACTTTCTCTCCTTCTCCTTCCTTAACAGAGCTGTCAATTAAAGTGAAATGCAACTGCCCAGCATGACGAGGGAGCCTCTATGGAAACTATTTGCCTCCTCTATGCTTTCTTGGCTGCTGCAGCTCTCGTACACCTGCATTTTATCTTGGTGACTTCATTTAGTAACTATTCTCAGTTTCCTTTATTTGCTTCCAGAACATCCATTTTTCATTCCAGCTTTATGCCCTCTTTTGGAAGAGTCTGACAGGAAGTGTGCAAATCCATTTTTGAGAATGAGCATTTCATAGCTTATGAATTTCTCCTGAATAGAGTTGGCATTAATTCATAAAATGATGAGTCTCTCCTCATTCGAGTAGTTATGTGTGTTTGGAAAGGAAATACGCCTTCCTTCCTATGTTTTCCTAAAATGTATTGCTTTGTTAGCAGACAGTTGAGAAATGTTCCAGAGAAATGTAGAATTGATGCAGGAGAAACTGGACATAGTGCACACTAACCATGTTCAACAACGTGCCCTGACCATCCTGTATCCTGGCACTCTCCTGTCACCTACGTTTTGAAGAGTATGGGCTGTGAGATAACTCAGGATACAGCTGGGATCTCCACGTACATCACACCTTTAGGGGAGACACTGGAAGCTAGGTTGCGTTATAGCACTTTGTTAAATAATCCACACTAAGTATGCAGTTGGATGCACTAAAATTCTCTCAATCTGCCACAATTTCTCAGAACTTCCAAAAAAGAGAAATTGCCTAATAATGGCACATACTTAATTCCGTATCTCCTTTGCTTATATCCCTAAGCATACTGTTTTTGCTAAAAAACATTGTTTTACCTCCTCAGGCTATACAGCATACAAACTGTACTGTGGAAGGAAATGTTGTGTATGTTTTAAATAGAAAGTCAATTCTCATGTATCTTTTTGAGAAGTCTGTAGGTACGACAAAAGCTCTGCTATGCCTAGGTGAGAAATAACACCTCAGGAGGAGGAGAAATACAAGGGTATAGAAAGGGCTGATGGTGCTGGAATGCAATTTAAGTCTGTTGGATTTTTACTTGTTTAATTAAAATACAAAAAAAAGTGCTGATGGAAAGTCTAGTATATTTGTGCAGCTCTTGACTGAGTTTTAGCACAGAATTCGGTACTGTAGAAAATTAACATTTGCCAGATAACTGTAAAAATTTTTGACATATTTCAGTTAAAGATACAACACTTAACTGTTGTGGCTAACTCAAAAAAAAAAAAAAAAAAGGCAATGA